GAATAGTCAAGGACTTTTCTGAAGGTCAAGCCATGGCTTAAGAAGTCTTGGTGATATTTTAGCTTTTGTATATATATTAGCCAATTCCTGGAATGATTTCCTTGTATGCTATATATGCTTCCAAGAACTCATAACAGTGTATTTTATCTGAAATACCTTTCAAGCATCCAAGGCCAAGCAATCTCCTGAATTAAGGTAAATTAAGTTCAGACCCTCCCTTCTTATACAGCCTTAGTGGTATTTATATTAACATTATAGACTCCTAACATTTACCTAACCACCTCTAGAAATGTAGATTGAGCACATAAATTCCCTTTTTGATATATTAACCAATCTTAGCTCTCAGTCGACCTCCTCCTTTAACTACTCTCCTTTTGAGTTGTAAAATAAATCCTGACAGTCACTGCCTGAGGAAAACTCTTGTCTGCCTTTATGATGCTATAAGAATTCAAGCCTGGTGATCTTGCTTTAGTTAGAGCACTGCTATTGCATGGGCATATACCTGTAAATCTCAGAGACATAGAGAGGATTTTGAGGACTTTGAGTGGAGAGGATTTTTACTAGAGAGCTAGATGGAGAACTAGAAGAATGAGATGGAAGATGAGGAACAGCCAGATGGGGAAGGATGAGATGGGTAAGGATGAGATGAGGAAGACCAAGATGGGACAGAACTAAGATGAGAGAATTAAGATAGAACTTAGAGGGGACAGCAGATAAATATATATAGAGAGATGTAGATAGAATTTTATCCCAGAGGAATAAACTAGATGGACAAAAGAGCTTGGTGTACTTGGATTCTTTTCCCAAAAAATAATCCTCACCATTTGTAGCTTCTCTTCTGAGCCCCCAGGAAGAAGATTAATAAGGCTGGTCCTTAATAATATCTGAGAAGACCACTTCCTGAATATAACACTAGTAGCACAGATACTGAGATTGACAATTAATAAATGGGAACTCCTGACACTGAGAAACTTCGGTAGGGTAAAGTGTCAATAAGACAAAATAGCAGCCTACAGAATGGGAAAAGATATTCCCCAACCCCACATCTGACAGAGGGCTGATCTCCAAAATATATAAAGAACTTAAGAATCTAAACATTAAAATACCAAATAATCCATTTAAAAATAGGGTACAGATTTAAACAGAATTCTCAACAGAATTTTAAATGACTGAGATACACTTAAAGAATTGTTCAACAATCTTAGCTATCAGGGAAATGCTAATCAGAATGACTCTGAGATACCATCTTACACCTGTCAGAATGGCTAAGATAAAAAATGCAAATTACAGCTTATGTTGAAGAGGATGTGGAGTAAGGGAAACACTCCTCCACAGCTGGTGAGAGTGCAAATTTGTACATCCACTCTGGAAATCAGTATGGTGATTTCTCAGAATATTGGGAATCATTCTTCTGACCCAGCAATACCACCCTTGGGCATATACACAAAGGATGCTCAATCATACCACAAGGATACTTGCTCAACTATGTTCATAGCGGTATTATATGTACTAGACAGAATGTAGAAACAATCTAGATGTCCCTGAACTGAAGAATGGATAAAGAAAATATGGTATATTTATACAATAGGGTATCACTCAGCTGTTAAAAAAAAGACATCATGAAATTTGCAGGCAAATGGATGGAACTAGAAAAATCTTCCTGAGTGAGGCAACGCAGATGCAAAAAGACAAACATAGTGTTTACTCACTCATAATGGATATTAGATGTAAAGCAAAGGATAACCAGGCTACAATCCACAACCCCAGAGAAACTAGGTAACAAGGAGGATCCTAAGAGGGACAAATGGATCACTTTGGGAAGGGGAAATAGATGAGATCTCCTGGGTAAACTGGGGATGGGAAGAAAAGGGAGGGGATGGGGGATGGAAATGTGAGAGATCCAGATGGTTGAGTTGAGGAAGGGATGGAGAGGGAGAACAATGAAAGATATATCTTGATAGAGGGGGCCATTATAGGGTTAGGGAGAAACCTGGTGCCAGGAAAACTCCCAGTAATCTACAAGGATGACCCCAGTTAAGACTCTTAGAAATAGTGGAGAGGGTGCCTGAATTGGCCTTCTATAATCAGATTGGTGACTACCCTAATTGTCATCAAAGAGCCTTTATCCAGTAATTGATGAAAGCAGATGCAGAGATCCACAGCCATGCACTGGGCTGAGCTCCAGGAGTCCAGTTGAAGAGAGGGAGAAGGGATTATATGAGCAAGGGGACTCAAGATCATGATGGAGAAACCCACAGAGACAGCTGACCTGAGCTTGTGGGAGCTCGCATACTCTAGACCAACAGCTAGGGAGCCTAATGGGACTTATCTAGACCCTCTGCATGTGGGTGACAGTTATGTAGCTTGGCCTGTTTGTGGTGCCCCTAGCATTGGGACCAGGACCTGTCCCTAGCACATGAGCTGGCTTTTTGGAACCTATTCCCCATGGTGGGATACCTTGGTCAGCCTTGGGCTGCAGTAGCCCCACATCCAGCCTGTTCTATGGTGATATTTTATTTGTACTGAAATGTGATTTTAATTGTATGTTAATAAATAAAGTTGCTCAGGGATCAGAGCTATTAGAGCCATAGCAAAAGCTGGGGGTTGGTGGCGCACGCCTTTAATCCCAGCACTTGGTAGGCAGAGCTAGGTAGATCTCTGTGTGTTCAAGGATATAGCCAGCATTGGAGACACATGCCTTTAATCTCAATACCAACCATAGAAGACCTGGAGGTCTGTTCAGACAGGCAGTGACGAGGAAGTCATGTGGTTGGGTTTACAACCAATGAGAAGGCAGAACAGAAAGTCTATATAAAGACAAACAGACAGGAAGTAGCTCTCTTTCGGAGAGGTCTCTTGACTGAAGAGGCTAGCTGCAACAGGCGGGTAAGGCTCTTAGCTCTGATCACTTGGCTTTCTTCCTTGCATTGGGTCTGTGTTTCTTATTTAATAAGATGGTTGGTTACATCTCCACTCTGCCCAAATGACCACTCACTATGAGGCGGGGTGGCCAAGACCTCCATGCTCCCTTTTGCTACGCACTCTCAGGCTACGCCAGTAATCAGGAGTGGGGGTGCTTGGACCCACAGCTACTGCAGCTTTCCACTCCCACTGTTAGCCGTGCAAGCGCTGGACCCAAATGCACTTGTCCACTCCCAGGAGAGTGCACTTTTTACCCTTGCCTCTTTCATAGGTAATGGGTAACTTCCCTTCTTCTGCAAAGGAGCCTCAGATATTGGCACTTAAAGCTCTTATACAGATCAGAGATATTTGCATCAAACACTCTCACCCAGTCAGTTTTTGTGACAACACCTCTGCTCTAGGGCCCTTGATCTCTCCTGAGAACATCTGGGATCCCTCATTGTAGCTAGAGTTTTCCTGCCTGGCCCACAGTCAGGACAAATCTCTCTCACCTGCCAGTCCCACAGCCGCTCAAACCCGACCAAGTAAACACAGAGACTTATATTGGTTATAAACTGTATGGCCGTGGCAGGCTTCTTGCTAACTGTTCTTACAGCTTAAATTAATCCATTTCTATTAATCTATACCTTGCCACATGGCTCGTGGCTTACTGGCATCTTCACATGCTGTTTGTCATCGTGGCGGCTGGCAGTGTCTCTCTGACTCAGCCTTCCACTTCCCAGCTTTATTCTCCTCCTTGTCCCGCCTACACTTCCTGCCTAGCCAATGGCCAATCAGTGTTTTATTTATTGACTAATTAGCAACACATTTGTCATACAGAACATCTCACAGCACCTCATTATGGATGAGAGGGGGTTTTTTTGACCATGAAAAGGAAGGTTCAAGAAGTGAAGTCCCCTCATTCAGCGTTTATACCCATACTACTAGGCATTATAGCCTGTATAAAATCAGGTACCACGGACAATGTTCTTAGAGATTTTAATGACCACTGTAAGACACAAAAAATGAATTCCCTCTCGCTTGATTTCCCACCTCCATATGTAGAGCCAGATTTGGAGGACGAGGATAGCCTGCCAAAGAAACCTCCTATACAATCCCCTCCTGCCTCACCTCCTACAGAGGGAACTCTCTATCCTTGGGCAGAACTCCCTTCATCCTCATGCCCTAAAGAGCCTCACTGTGATTCCCTTAAGGCAAAAATCCCCTCAGTAATTAAAGCTTGTCCCTCAATTTCTCCTATTATGACTAATCCTGTCCCAGTACCTGAGCCCCTGATGCAAGCCCCAACAATTAAATATCACTCTACTAACACTTTTGCCTTTCCAGTCAATGTGGGACCTGATGCGGCCAACCAGCCCTGGGTGCCCACTCTTCTTACGGATCTGTCCTTGATTCATAAAGCCACTAATAAATCGGTCCTGACTCCCTGTATTTTGAGCAAGTCTTAGGGCAATGGGCAATACATTTACAGACTTATGACTTGTATAATTTGATGAAAGCTGTGCTTGAGCTCTCAGTTTTTCTTGACTGGTGAGTGGCATATGATGATGAGGCAGAGACACAGGCATGCCTCAATATACAATATAATATTGCTATATCCCTAGAAGTGCTGACCAGCTGGGGCCAATATGTTAATCCCATGACTTAAGCTCGAATTAGCCTACATCCCTATTTTCAGCAGGTCTCTGAACTTGCATTTAAAGCCTTGAAATCTTGCACTCCTTGGGATCCAACTGCCTAATTTTGTAATCTGATACAGCAGCCTCCCCGGGACGGGGAGGAGGATTGTTTACTGACTTCTTAGCTCTAGCCATTGAGGCAGTGGAGAAAGAGATGTGCTGTGGGATGGTCTGTATGTCAAATGCTCTGATTGGTCAATAAATAAAACACTGATTGGCCAGTGGCCAGGCAGGAAGTATAGGTGGGACTAACAGAGGAGAATTGAGAGAACAGGAAGGTGGGAGGAGACACTGCCTGTAGAGAGCTGCGTGGAGTTGCATCCTTGAGATGGCGCTGGCTTCCGCCCCCCCCCCCCCCCCCCCCCCCCCCCCCCCCCCCCCCGCCCTCCCGATGGCGAGTGCTCTCTATGTTAAACAACTCCTTATTTGGCTTGGCTTTAGATTTTGGCTTGCTAAGGCATACGTGTACCTATCCAGGAATCCCATGTGGCGCATGGTGGTTGGTGGACTGAGACCTATATAAGGCTGGGGCGGGCTCTCCCTAGGGGTAGAAGAACAAAGGAAACAGATTTGAAAAGGCCTGAATAAAAACAGTTTGAAGAAGAGCTCGGTGTTGTGTCTTCCTTGCTGGTCGAGGCGGACGTGACAATTGGCGGCCCCGTACAGGGAAAACTCTTTGAAGAAAGGGAGCTCAGAACTTCTTGCTGTCAGGGTAGGTATACCTGGTAAGTCCCTGGGTTAATTGGGGAACTGCGACAAAAGCGGGTTTTGCTCTCTTCTGTAGATAAAGGGAGAGCGGTTATCATAGAGCCGTGAAAAAAAGCGGACGGGATAAATCGAAACGAAACTAGTTTGGCTGTTACATCACGTGGAGCAAAAGTGGAAGTGATAAACTGGGGCTGTTTGGTAAAGGCTCTGAGAAACCGCTTAGGTTAAAAAGAAAGGGTTGTACAAGGATGGGCACTTCCTCCTCGCACCCAATTTTTTTGGCTCTCAACGAGCTGCTTCTAACAAAAGACTTAAAGATAAAGAAGGGAACTTTACAAAGATTCCTAGAGGAATGTGATGTCGTGGCCCCATGGTTTGCTGTTTCCGGGAGTCTCACAGTGTCCTCCTGGGAAAAATTGGGACGAGACTTGGACTTTGCAGCAGAACAGGGGACACTGAAACCGGGGGTGAGACCAGTTTGGAGATTAGTATGTGGCTGCTTAGAGGATCAGCGTTGTAGCAATGCATTGGAAAGCATACAAGCCACGCTAGAGCAGTTACAAGAGGAAAGATCAGAAAAAGCGGGGTCTGAAAAGGCGGAGTCTGAAAAATCCAAGGGCAGTAAAGAAAAGAGAAAGGAGACACAACTCTATCCTTCCCTATCAGACCTTGAAGACCCCGAGTCTACTGACTCTTCTCTCGGTTTCAGAGGAGGTAGAGTCTCTAGTTAGATCATTACAAAAGGTAAAGATAAAAAACAAGGTGAGAAAGAAAGACAAAAGAAAAGGGGATTATGGGTCCATAATCCCCTCCGCTCCTCCCCCTTACCCTGAGGCTGCGGCGGCTCCCGGAGCATCGCTGGTCAGCAGCAGCCTTCATCCACAGCTGTGGAGGGAGGTTAGAAGAGAGATGCAGGTGGCTTGTCCTGTTTTTGTAGATAATCAGAATCAAAGATATCATGAACCTTTGGATTTTAAATTTGTCAAGTCTATAGCTGAGTCTGTGAAAAGTTACAGCGTTACCGCTGCATTTACACTTACTCAGATTGAGACTCTGCAAAGACAATGCATGACTGCCTCAGATTGGATGAATCTTGCCCGTGCCTGCCTTAGTCCAGGCCAGTATTTAGACTGGAAGGCCTTCTTTATTGAATTTGCTAATGAGCAGGCGGCGGCAAACCACAACACAGGCCTGCAATGGGATGCTGATATGCTGCTTGGTCTGGGCAGATATGTCAATCAACAGACTACCTATCCTCCTAATGTATATACTCAAATTAATCAAATAGCCATTAGAGCCTGGAAATCTTTGCCTAACAAAGGTGAAGTGAGTGGCAATTTGACCAAGATACTCCAAGGTCCCATGGAGCCCTTTTCAGATTTTGTGGCCCGTTTGATAGAGGCTGCTGGTAGAATTTTTGGGGACACAGATGCCTCAATGCCCCTGATAAAGCAGCTAATATATGAGCAGTGTACAAAGGAGTGCAGGGCCGCCATCACCCCATATAAGGCCAGGGGGTTGGAAGCCTGGATGAAGGCTTGCCGGGAATTAGGAGGACCTCTGACCAATGCAGGTCTGGCAGCTGCAGTCCTTCAGCTTACCCAGAGAAAAGAGAGTAATACTCAAAATGCTTGTTTTAAATGCGGGAAGAGAGGACATATAAGACACAACTGCCCACTAGGGGTGGGTAGTAAACAGGAACAAGGAAGTAGCCAGCGCTGCATTCAGCCAGGACTCTGCCCAAAATGCAGAAAGGGGAGACATTGGGCCAATGAATGTTGGTCCGTTAAAGATATAAACGGGCAACCCATTGCGGTCGACAGCTTTCCAAAAAACGGCCAGCGGGGCCCACGCTCCCAGGGCCCTCAAATATATGGGGCGATGGAGACCCCGAGACAGGACTCCCCTCCGGAGCAGTGGCCCTCCCTTCGACATCCCAAGCACCGCGGAGAGCCAATGCGGGCTCAGCAGGATTGGACCTCCGTGCCACCACCAGACTCGTACTAACTCCGCAAATGGGGGTACAAGTAATAGAGTCTGATTTTCAAGGCCCCCTTGACCCAGGAACAGTAGGGCTGTTAATAGGGAGATCATCTACCTTATTGAAAGGATTGCGTATTCATCCAGGGGTGATTGACTCTGACTACACAGGAGTAGTAAAGATTATGGTAGAGTCACCAAAAGGAATTACTGCCATATCCCCAGGGGATAGAATTGCACAACTTATTTTACTCCCCAGTCTGCATGGCACCCACCCGGCTTATGACAAAGAAAGAGGAGACAAAGGATTTGGGTCATCAGGAACAGATCTCACATTCTTATCACTGGATTTAGATCAGAGACCTACATTACAACTAACTATCAATGGCATTAAACTTATGGGAATTTTAGATACTGGAGCGGACCACAGTATTATTGCTAGCAAAGATTGGCCTCGGGATTGGCCAATACAAATTTCTTCCCAGACGCTACAAGGACTGGGTTATGCTAGCACTCCTAATATTAGAGCAAGTTTGCTAAATTGGCATGATGAAGAAGGACCTTCCGGCGTTATGCAACCCTATGTCCTTGAGCTTCCAGTTTCCCTTTGGGGGAGGGACCTCATGAAGTCTATGGGTTTCAAATTAAGCAATGAGTATTCCAAAGAATCTCAAGATATTATGAAAAAGATGGGATGCCATCCCAATTTTGAATTAGGAAAGTTTTTACAAGGGAGAAAGGAGCCAATACAGGCAACACCTAGAAAGCCAAGGCAAGGGCTGGGTTTTTTTAGGAGCCATTGAGGAAGGAGTTCCCATATCCTGGAAAACAGAGGAACCAGTGTGGGTTCCTCAATGGCCACTTTCCTCCGAGAAACTGCTAGCAGCAAGGCAGCTAGTGGAAGAGCAGTTGAGAGAGGGACATATCAAACCTTCCCTTTCTCCTTGGAATACACCCATTTTTGTTATAAAGAAAAAATCAGGGAAATGGAGATTGTTGAATGACTTTAGAGCAATAAATGACCAGATGAATATTATGGGGCCTGTACAGAGAGGTCTTCCATTATTATCAGCCTTACCAGAGAACTGGCCCATTATTGTGATTGATATTAAAGATTGTTTTTTCTCCATCCCCTTGCATGACAAGGATAGTGAAAGATTTGCATTTACAGTGCCATCTACTAATCATGAAGAGCCAGATAAGAGATATCAGTGGATTGTCCTACCACAAGGCATGGCCAACAGCCCTACTATGTGTCAGTTGTTTGTAGCACAAGCTCTAGAGCCATTAAGGGCCCGCTTCCCTACTGTTAGATGTGTCCATTATATGGACAACATCCTCCTCGCAGCAAAAGAAAAGGATGTTTTACAAGCTGCATATCACTTTTTAGGGACAGTGTTAAGAGCTAAAGGGTTGTACATCGCTTCTGAGAAGGTACAACAGGATCAGGTGGTTACTTATTTAGGCTCTAAGATTACCAGTCAACAGATTAGGCCTCAAAAGGTAGAATTGAGAAAAGATCATTTATGTACATTAAATGATTTTCAAAAATTATTAGGGGACATAAATTGGATAAGAGGCAGTTTAAAAATGGCAAATTATGAGCTAAAGCCGCTTTATGATACATTAGCAGGTAACACGGCTTTGGATTCCTCTAGACAGTTAACCACAGAAGCACGTGAAGCACTATGCAAAGTTGAGGATAGATTACAGGAGGCCTTTCTTCAGAGAGTTCGAGATCCCAACACAATTGTATTATACATTCTGCCTACCTTTTTGCAGCCCACTGGTATTTTATGGCAGGATGGACCTTTATTGTGGGTTTACACTAGAATTTCCCCTGCAAAATCCATTGAATATTATCCCACAACTGTGGCACTACTTGCCCAGCAAGGTATTCGGCAGTGCTTGCAATATTTTGGAACTTCCCCGCAAATGCTGATTGTACCTTATAATGTCAACCAGGTGAAAGTTTTATGTGCCACTGTTGATGATTGGGCCATATTTCACTGTAGCTATGCGGGGCATATAGATTGCCATTATCCAAAACATCCATTATTGAATTTTTTTAAGGAACATCCTGTAGTCTTTCCTAAAATAGCTGCTTCCTGGCCAATTCCCGGAGCTGCCGTTGTTTTTACTGACGGATCTAAAACAGGTTGCGGGGCTTATATGGTGGGCTCAGGGGAGCCTGTGAAGCACCAATATTTACCGGGCGCACCTCAGCAGGTGGAACTTTTAATTGCTCTAGAAGTTTTTAAGGTTTGTCCATTTCCATTTAATTTGGTATCAGATTCCTGCTATGTTGTTAATGCCTTAAGAATTCTTGAATGTGCAGGGCCTCTTAAATCCTCTAGTCCCGTACAGTCGGTTTTTTGCCAATTGCAACAATTGATTTGGCAGTGGAAAAATCCATTCTTTGCACAACATATTCGTGCTCATACTGGCCTACCAGGCCCATTAGCTGAGGGCAACAATGTTGTAGACCTCTGTACCAGGCAAGAGTGGATGTTTGTGGCCTCAGCAGTGCAACGAGCACAAGAATTCCACAAGGAATATCATGTTAATGCTAAAACATTACAACAAAGGTTTTCTCTCTCACGTGCTGATGCACGTAAGGTAGTTCTAGATTGTCCTCAGTGTGTCATTTTTCAGCACCCTCCTGCATTAGGAGTCAACCCTCGTGGTTTGCTCCCTCTGAAAATATGGCAAATGGATGTTACACATATCTCTGAATTTGGACGGGTCAAATATGTCCATGTGTCTGTTGACACTTGTTCTGGAGTCATCCATGCCACCCCAATGGCAGGTGAGAAGGCATTTCACGTGATCACCCATTGCCTAGAGGCATGGGAAGTATGGGGCAAACCACAACAAATAAAAACAGACAACGGTCCTGCTTACACGGGCCACAAGTTTGCCTCTTTCTGCCGTCAAATGGATGTTCAACTTGTATATGGCCTGCCCTATAATCCCCAGGGTCAAGGCATTGTGGAGCGCGCACATCGCTCCTTGAAGGAACTGCTTCAAAAACAAAAAGGGGGAATAGGCCATAGCCGTACCCCTAAGGATAGACTCTCTCTTGCATTATTTACCTTGAATTTTTTAAATTTGGATGGATCAAACTGTTCAGCTGCAGATAGACATCAATGTCAGCACAGTCCCTCTAAAGGGATGGTAAAATGGAAAGATGCCTTGACGGGTATCTGGCATGGACCTGATCCCATGCTTGCATGGGCATGAGGCTCTGTTTGTGTTTTCCCACAGGGTCAACAAGATCCGATCTGGGTACCGGAAAGATTGGTGAGAAAAGCACAATTGACGCAGTCTCAGGAAGATGCTTCTGCAAACATGCCTGATGTTCCTGCTGAGTCTACAGCCAGGGAAGATGGAACAGAGATGGGGGATCCTGTCTGCATTCACTAAACCAATGCCAGTACAACATGATGCACAGGTTTTTCCTAGGATGTTTACCTCTAATAATGCTATTAATCTCCCTTATTTGCATTTGGATCTGGAACGAATGCCTCTAGGAGAGAATCATAGTTTCCCGGAAAAAGGATCCCTGTGCTTTCAAATAGATGAATCTGGAGACTGCATTCCCCTGACCAAAGGCCTTTATGAGTGGTTTAATGGAAATAAAAATCGTGTCCCAGGCACTAAGCAACAGCAAATTAGCCATGGGAATGACTGTCTTACCCTGAAACAAAATTATACTACAGCTGTTATCTGGCTGAATGGCACTATGCTCACCTGTAATATCACCTTGCCTAATAATACTTATATACCCCCTAAGCAAGCCAAGTGGGGTCCTACTTGTTGGGGAGCATATGAAGGCGACCCCTGGCCCTGGACAGACTGCCAATCCACTATTGTCAGATGGGCTGATAAAGTACAAAGATTTACTTTCTCACCTGATATGAGTGGCCCCCTTGAAAAGGGGGGTATCAAAGCAGACATGAAGACAGGGCTATTCTTGCAGGACCAGTGCATGAATCCATTTAATAAATGGATGCTGTGCGGTGTAAACGGAAGCTGCACGGATATAGCCCCTATTGTCATGATTCAGGGAGGAAGTTATGGAGTGCATGAACTTCTTTGTTCTTCTCAGCATGATCAGTGCGGGTATGGAGAATATGCCTCTGACCCCCAGAATGTTTCTATAACTTGCACTCAATTTTTTTAAGCCCATAGTGAATACCACCACTATTAAAGCCAGTCCTGTATGTGTGCATCCTCCATTTCTGTTTATCTTGTCAAATTTTAGCTTTGCAAATTGTACAAATAGTACTTGTTGGATGTCCCAATGCTGGGACAGTAAGCTGTTTACCAGAGCCCTTGTTGCTTGGGTGCCTTGGTGGATTCCAGTACCAGTAGAAGTGCCTAGTACTATGGTGCTGTTTAGACCCAAGAGAGATTTTGGCATAACTGTGGCGATTATAACTGCTATCTCCATTGCCGCAGTCTCTGCCACTGTTGCAGGTATAGCTATGTCTACCACTGTGCAAACAGCTGCAACTTTAAATGATTTGTCTGCTACAGTGGCCCAGGCCCTGGATGCCCAAACCTCTCTGAATGCGCAGTTGAAAGGAGGCCTCATGGTACTCAACCAGCGCATTGATTTGGTGCAGGAACAAATTGATATCCTTTGGCAAATGGCCCAGTTGGGCTGTGAGTGGAGAATGCCTGGCCTGTGTGTTACCAGTGTTCAATTTCAGAATGCTTCCCGAGCCGCAAATTTGTCTAAAGAACTTTCTAGATTTCTTGTAGGAAACTGGTCTGGAAAGTTCGAAGAAACCCTGGAGAAATTGAGAGCAGTGGTGGTGACCATTAACTCCACTCAAGTGGACATCAGCATGGCTGAGGGCTTGACTTCCTGGATCCAGTTTGCAGCAAATCATTTGAAGGAGTGGGCGGGACTAGGTGCCTTGTTGGTTCTTGTGAAACTTGCCTTCCTTGTTTGCCTGTGATATTTCCATAAGATGAGGTTTGCACAGCGCCATCAGGCAGCCATGATTGTCCAAGCATTTACCACCATCGAGGCTGGTCAGTCCCCTCAGGCTTGGCTAGTAAAGCTGCAGTCTTGAAGCACAGGCTGCGAGGCATGACACTGCACTTGAGGTCGAAATAACACTGACCTCAAGAAGAGCATGTTTGATTGCATGCGGGTTGGCATCTATCTCCCGCCTCTGAAAAAAGGATGCTGAACTGGTCTGGTACTCTCTAGGTGGATGACACCTGGATAGCATTAGTACAGGTTCTTGTTTTCTCAGAGATCAAACCTCTACTCTTGCCTGTTGTCTAAAACAAAAAGGGGGAACTGTAGAGAGCTGTGTGGAGCTGCATCCTTGAGATGGCGCTGGCTTCCGTCCCCCGCCCTCCCGATGGCGAGTGCTCTCTATGTTAAACAACTCCTTATTTGGCTTGGCTTTAGATTTTGACTTGCTAAGGCATACGTGTACCTATCCAGGAATCCCATGTGGCGCATGGTGGCTGGTGGACTGAGACCTATATAAGGCTGGGGCGGGCTCTCCCTAGGGGTAGAAGAACAAAGGAAACAGATTTGAAAAGGCCTGAATAAAAACAGTTTGAAGAGGAGCTCGGTGTTGTGTCTTCCTTGCTGGTCGAGGCGGCTGCGACAACTGCCAGCTGCCGCCATGACAAGCAGCATGTGAAGATGCCGGTAAGCCACGAGCCATGTGGCAAGGTATAGATTTATGGAAATGGATTAATTAAAGCTATAAGAACAGTTAGCAAGAAGCCTGCCACGGCCATACAGTTTGCAACCAATATAAGTCTCTGTGTTTACTTGGTTGGGTCTGAGTGGCTGTGGGACTGGCGGGTGACAAGATTTGTCCTGACTGTGGGCAAGGCAGAAAAACTCTAGCTACAGAGATGGATCCTGGCCTGACCAGGGAGATTCTCATTAAGCAATTAACATTGGAGGGGCTTAATGCTCCTGCTTGAAATGCAGTTGCAGCAGTGCATAATGAGGACATTCATAAACGGGTGATCACTGCTTGTGATCTCCACCCTCAGGCAGGGCCCATAGCAGCTCTTACTGCCTCTCTAAATGCACTATTAGCTTCCAAAGATAATGTCATGGATAGTCCTCTCCCAACTGACCTGACCATTCTTTCTGGGTCTGTGGTCAGTCAGGCCACCTTTATTGAGACTTCCCTAAAACTCAACCCAGGACCAAATGCCCCAAATGCCAAAAACAGTTTAATTGGGCACATGACTGCAAGAGCTCTCCCCAGGTTTCTTTCAACTTGAGGAGGGGCACCCCTCAGTCCAGCATGTAAGAGGGGGTCCCTCCAAACCCAGAGTATTTTGGACCCTTCCCATATTCCCCCATGATGACCATCTGTATGGATGGCAGACCCACCAAGGGTCTAGTAGACACTGATGAAGACCCAACTGTAATATCTACTAATGATGTGCAGGCATTTCCTCACTGGAAACTTAAGGATGGCCTTACCATTACTGGAGTAAGTGGTGTTAAGCCCTCTAAAACCATTGGCCACCCAGTTCATTGGAAGGACATAGATGGTAATCAAGACCAATTCTGCCCCATCATAGCCTACGCACCCCATATACTCTGGGGGTACGATCTATTGGAGGAGATGGGAGCGGTGCTTAGTACAGATGACAAAGCCTTTTATGAGGACATAGTAACACATGATGTAACAGGCCAATCAGGAAGAGTTTCTAGCACTCACCCCCAATTCTAATGGCCACTTTCCCCCATGTAGACATCCCAGAGCCCATACCATTAAACTGGATATCAGAAAAGTCCATATTGGTGGATCAGTGACCTATTATAGAACCTAAATTATCAGCACTGAGAGAGTTAGTTAAAGAACAACTGCCGACAGGTCAAATTGAACATTCCTACAGCGATTCAATACCCTCATTTTTGTAATTAAGAAAAAATTGGAGAACTTCTGCCTTTTACAGGACTTGAGAAAAATCAATGCACAAATAGAAAAGAGGGGCTCCCCCAAAGCGGGACTGCCACATCCCAGTGTTATTCCGCCTGGATGGCATGTCCTTGTAATAGATATTAAAGATTGTTTTCCTCTCCATACCACTGGCCCCAGGGGACAGAGAATGCTTTGTGTTTACTGTTTGGAAACTTAATGTTCAGAGACCCACCTCCCATTATCATTGGAAGGTATTACCACAAGGCATGAAGAATAATCTAGTTATCTGTCAGCTATATGGTCAGCAGGCTTTAAAGAGAATCCCCAAGGAAATATTGATATTAAATATTGATATTAAAGATATCCTGCTTGCTCATTCAGACAGGCAGAAAATTCAGGGCTTGCTGCCCCAGCTTTTAAAAGACTTGGAGGCTTTCCACCCTGAGGTGCCCCCAGAAAAGATACAATGGCTACCTCCCTTTACCTTTTTGGGTTATCAGATAAGCCAAACAATTCAACCCCTTCTATAAGCATACAGGAGTCCTACTCCCTTACAGACCTCTAGGAACTCTGTGGCATTAGTTGGCTCAAACAATTTCTCCCAATTCCTGATGAAGACATGAGACAACTGTTCTCCCTTCTCAAGGGGCATATCTCCTCCTCTGCAAAGATATGGTTGACAGAGGGGGCCAGGGATCTCTTAAAGAGGGCTAGTGAACTTGCCTATAATGCCTCCCTGAGGAGACATAATCCAAAATTTCCCCTGATAGTCTTAGTCCTTTGGATGAAGGGCAGCATATTGGGATCACAGTGGCAATCAGGCCCCCTAATTTGAATACATCTATCACATTCTGAGCTATCCCATATTAACTCAAATTTTGATATTGCCTTTGAGATAGGCATTAAAGCAAAAGCAACTGTTAGGAGAATCATGGGCCATGAACCAGATAAGATTGTCCTCCCCTTCTCCCTCCAAATACCCAGACCTTATGGGCAGATTCTCTCCCCTATCAGCAGATGATGACAGGGTTTACAGGCACCGTGGACAATCATTTCCCACAAGATAGACCCCTTTCAGCCCTTTCAATCATTGAGCTGATGTTGAGTCCATTTGCCAACCCCTCTAAAACTCCTGTTCCTCAAGCGGCAATAGCCTTTACAGATGCTAATAAGACCAATTTTCAACTTAATAATAGCCATGCCTAGTGCTAAAGAAATAACATATACCCAACCTAACCCAGGTTCAGTGCAGTTAGGAGAACTTTTAGCAATTCTCAAGGTATTAAAGCTAAGTCAATTAAATTCCATAAATATTTTTTCTGATAGTTGCTATTCGACCCAAGCCTGTAAGCTGTTGCCTTTTGCCAAATTAAAGACCCTGAGGGACCCCATCTCTATAACAATGAAATCAGTTCAAGATCTACTAGAAAATAGAAAGCACCCCTGATACATATATATATCATATTTGATCACACTTGGGATTGCCAGGAATGCTGGCCACTGGCAACCACCATGTAGAAAAAATGATCATGACAGTGTCACTGCCAGCGCTGGAGCAGGCCAGGCGTTTACACCAACAGTTCCACCTGTCGCCTCACAACCTCCATAAACTTCTACCTGACTTGCCCTTGTCAAGCTGTAAGCACCTAGCATGAACTTCCACCACATGCACCCCCTTAGTACCCTTGGGGCCCCTGAATAAAATGGGAGTAAACCCCAGAGGCCTAGTACCTAACACACTATGACAGATGGATGTTACTCACTATGCCCCCTTTAGCAATCTTAGGTATGTGCATGTGATTCTTGATATCTGTTCCACCTTTGTTTATGTAATAGCCCAAACAGGAGAAAAGGCATCATAGTCCTTCAAAGTTCTAAAAACAGCCATGATGGTAATGGGAGTACTCTGGGAACTTAAAACAGACAATGGCCCTGCATATACCTCCCAATCATTCAAGCAATTTCTGTGTGTTTCTTATTTAACAAGATCATTCATCTATACCACTATACCACAGAAACCCCCAAAATCTCTCACCTGGAAAGAATCTCTACAGAAGCCCCTAACACTTACTCTCTGGTAACTTTGGTAGAGAGAGCCTACAGAGTTTTAAACTCCTTTATACCTAATATAACCACCTCTTGCTGGCTTTGTTATGATACAGGCCCACCATATTATGAGGGCATAGCAACATTGGGCTCTTTTACAAGTAGTACTGATTCAATTTCTTGTCACTGGAACCCCAGAGCATACCTTATACTCCACCAAGTATTGGGTGAAGAACTTTGTGTGGGAACAGTTCCCTCCACTCATCTAAACATTTGCAACCAGATCCACACACTGTCCAATAGCTCACAATACCCTTATTCCCCACAATAGCTCCTTAGGTAGGGTTGGGACTTCAAGCTTACCTCCTTTTTTATGTTGGCTTGAGTCCATATAAGTCTTGTGCATGCTGTTAGAACCACTGTGAAGTAAGTATGAATGGCTTACCTACTGTGTCTGGAAAAGTTTCATTAGATTCACCCACTGCCTCTAATTCTCATAATCTTTCTGGCACCTCATCCACAATGCTTCTGTGCCTTGGGAAGAGGTGTGATATAGCTGTCCAAATTTAGACTGAGCATTCTGCAGTCTCTTATTCTCTGTACATTACCAGAGTACAGGGGGACTTTGTATTAATTGACATCTACTGTATAAAGTTTCTCTAATGAGGATTGAGATATTAATCTATGGGTGTAGTGACATGTTATTAGGAGTCAGATTAATATTGTCTTAGATTTCTATTACTGTGAGAAAACACCACAACCAAGAGCAAGTTGTAGGGGAAGGGATTTATTTTACCTCATAGGTCACAGTGTATCAGGAGAAGTCAAGGCAGAACTCAAAACAGGAGGCTGGAGGTAGAAACCGAAGCAGAGATCATGGAAGAATGTGGCTTACTGGCTTGCTGCCCAGGACTTGATCAGTTTGCTTTTTTATAAACCTCAGGACTACCTTCCAAGGGGTGGCAAAGTCAACAGTGGGCTGTGCCCTACAACCTCAATCAATAATCAAGAAAATGCTCCACAGGCTTGCCTACAGGCCAATCTGTTGAGGGCATTTTCTCAATTGATGTTCCCTCTTCTCTAGTCTTGTGTCAAGTAACAAAAAAAAAGTCATGAATTAATTGTGAAAATGGCTGTATTGCCCCCAAATGATCCACAGATCTATGCAATCCCCATCAAAATTCAGATGACATTTTCTATAGACCTAGAAAAAAAGAATCCTAAAATTCACAGTCTTTGAAAGGCTAATGCAATCCTTTGTAGAAAAAACAATGTTGGTAGTATCATAATACATAATCTTAAATTATATTACATACTTGTAGCACTAAAAACATGGTACCAGCACAAAAACAGATGTGTAGGCCAGTGGAATAGAATATGCGATCTAGAAGTAAATCCATATAATTGCAGCCACTTAATTGAGAAAAATTTTTTAGATTTACTTCTGTGTGTTTAGTGCATTTTCTTTTCATGTATGTATGTGCACCATGTGCATGCCTGGTGCCCATGTAGGTCATAAGTGGGCAGATCAGATCCCTTGGAACTGGAGTTACAAATAGTTGTGAGCCATGTGATATGGGTGCTGGGAATAGAACCTTGGTCCTCTGCAAAAGCAATAAGTATTCC